ACGTGATAGTAATTGGTGAATTACTTGTCAGGTGTGGGCTCTTTCCAAGTAATGTAGTATTGTGCTGCACTCTGCGTGATCATTCATGTTCATGTAAGTGCAGCTTCTGCATGTTTTTAAAGTCATTTGTGGCTTGATGTTAAAAGACAGTTCTAACCGTGACAGTAGGTAGGTATCAATTCCAGTATTGCGTTGCTAGAGCTACTCTTGTGTTGTGGTGTAAGCACAGTGTAGTCTTACCTTTCAGTATTTATAACAACCTTCTGTAGAAGTATTTTGAAATGGACAGTGTCTTTAACATGTCATCTATGAAAATACATTTGAAAGGTGTAGTCTGTTTCTCTATTTACGGATATTTAGTATAGTGAAAGAGATAGATACAGTAAATATAGCTGCTCTTTAGTGTCACTTCATTCAGAATACGTTAATGTAGCCTTAAAGGCTTTTGAAGCATGCCAGTCATTAAGAGGAAGAAAAACTGAAAGTGAAATCTACTGCTAAGGAAACAAATGCATCTTTTTTTAATGACAGTAGGACCAGAAGAGCTAGCAAAATTTCATAAATTAAACTGCCTCTTCAGTTATCTTTGCTTTAGTACATGTTCTAATCACTCATTAACTGACTTGAACGAGATACAACTTGATTATCTGGTACTTTCCTGATTACTTCTGTTTCTGGTTTGCATGTTTAAACTTGTGAATGACAAGTGTCCTTAAATGCTTAGTGAATGATTAAGTAAACATGTAATGTTTCTTTCTTTCCTTTTAATACACGAACCAGGCAAGTATTCTCAGGAAATATTCTTAGTATCTTTACACAGCAGAATGGGATGAAATTGTTTATATGTTCGTATAAGTAACTTTAGTTAGAAGTGAGCATACCATGAAGCTGACGGGGAGGGGGCTGGTGAGCACCTATTCCCACAAATTGCCAGACTGGTTTTTGATGAAATTTTCTACCTCTCCCTGCATTGAATATTTAAGTTGTCTGTGGGGTTATTTGGGACTCAATTCAGTAATGCTTTCGTGAATTTTGATGACCTAGTAAGGAAGTGTTTGCTGGGAAATAGGGATGTGTGGGCGTTGTATGTGGGTTTTTTTTGTGGAGTTCTTGGTAAGAAGTGCTGTATTCCAGGATGGCTTTAAAAAGCTAGCTGTCTGACATAGTGATAGGGCCTGAATCTAATACTGCTTTAGTAATATAATTTGAAAAGTCATCTTACAGACCCTGGCCAACTTGGAACAGGGTAGGAGATACTACTCTATCTGGAGGGACAGGTACACTGTAAAGTGATGTGCTTCATTACTGTTTTCCTACTCTAGTAGTCAGAGTCACGGAATGGTTTAGGTTGGAAGAAACCTTGAAGATCACCTAGTTCAAGCCCCCCTGCCATGGGCAGGGACACCTTCCACTAGACCAGGTTGCTCAAAGCCCCATCCAGCCTGGCCTTGGACACTTCCAGGGATGGGGCATCCACAGCTTCCCTGGGCAACCTGTTCCAGTGCCTCACGATCGTCAGAGCCAAAAATTTCTTCCTCATACCTATTCTAAATCTACCCTTTTCCAGTGTGAAGCCATTCCCTCTCATCTTATCACTACAAGCCCTTGTAAAAAGTCCCTCTCCAACTTTCTTGTAGGTTCCTTCCAGATACTGGAAGGCCACCATAAGGTCTCCCTGGAGGTCTCTCCAGGCTGAACAATCTCAACTCTCTCAGCCTGTCTTCATAGGAAAGGTACTTCAGCCCTCTGATCATCTTTCTGGCCCTCCTCTGGACTCATTCCAACCAGTCCATGCCCTTCTTACCTTGAGGGCTCCGAGCTGGATGCAGTATTCCAGGTCGGGTCTCATGAGAGCGGAGTAGAGGGGCAGAATCACCTCCTTCGATCTGCTGCCCGTGCTTCTTGTGATGCAGCACAGGATACAGTTGGCCTTCTGGGCCATGTTGCTGGATCATGTTGAGGTTCTCATCAACCAGTGCCCCCAAGTCCTTCTCCTCAGGACTGTCCTCAACCCATTCTCCACCCAGCCTGTGTTTGTGCTTTGGATTGCCCCGATCCATGTGCAGGACCTTGCACTTGGCCTTGTTGAACTTCAAGAGGTTTCCACAGGTCTACCTCTCAAGCCTGTTTAGGTTCCTCTGGATGACATCCCTCCAGCATGTCGATGGCTCCAGACAGCTTGGTGTTGTTGGCAAACTTGCTGAGGGTGCACTCGATCCCACTGTCCATGTCACCAACAAATATGTTAAATAGCACCACTCCCAGTAATGACCCCTGAAGAACACCACTTGTCACTGCTCTCCACTTGGACATGGAGCTGTTGACTGCAACTCTTTGAGTGCAGGCATCCAGCCAGTTCCTTATCCACCAAGTAGTCCGTTGGTCAAATCCGTGTCTCTCCATGTCTGTGAGGTTAAGCCTTACTGACCAAGATCCCATTGTTACATTAACGTCAGTATAGTATCAGTAATTCAAGAAACAACATCTTGTGGTTCTCTTCTTCTGTTGTGGAATGGAGTTCTTAAAACAATGATTGTTTTCCATTCTTGTTACTCCAAGGATTTAAATTGTCAGTGGTGCAATAATGCTGGGTATAGATATACTTGTAGATACACATGTTAGTTCTTGTAAGTCAAATAGCGTGTGAACTAAATTTTGCTAGTTGAGTTTCTGTTTTTCTCTGCTTTGTTCCCAGAAATAGACAGAGTGACAGAGTCATCGACTCGGTCTAAATTTATACAGTTGCTAATATTCTGGGAACATATTTTTT